TCTATATCCCTTCGTAGCTGACCTCACTTTGAAGCACCGCAGCTGTCCTGGGGTTCCACCTTGAGAAAATATTTTAAAACTAGCGGTTCTTTCTTCCGTTTAAGCATTTGATGCATGGATCGAAGACATTAATTCCCCTCGATCTGCACGTGAATATATCGACAAATATGTTGATAATACATTAGCTCGAAGTTCAGAGAACATTTTTTAAAGAATTTTTACATCTCATGATATATAGTTATTCTGAAGCTCAATCACTTCAATGCATGTTGTGAACATGTACTGATATATCGCAACTTAGTGGCCCTTACATAGATAATACAAAAGATCATGTTATTACTTCGTTTTATTTTCAAAACCTCGAAAAGAGCTCATTAACGCTTAAAAGATGCGTGATTTCACTGATATTGTTGTACAACTTCAGTATTGACTCCAACTCGGTCATTCTTTAACTTATAAGCCTAGAAGGTATGCCATTTTGTAGAGAAATGAACGTTCTATCTAAAGATATGTTTAATGAGCTTAAGCCGTTAACGAACTCTTTTCGAGTTTTTGATGCGATTTCATTTCGCTAAGCACTGTAAACATAGAAGATACGTCATTTTCTAGAGAAATGAACGTTCTATATACTTAAGTCTATTAACAGAAATTTTCGATGTAGTTTGCAATTGGGACCTTTTCTGGAAAACTCGGATCTTCGGAGACCTATACCTCAGAAACCGGAGATAAGGTACTGGGATCTCAGTTGATTCATATGTTTCAAGAGGTGTAGAGCCCGAAAATGTGCATTGCGATCAACAGTAATGGGAAAAATATAGTTAAAAACCGCTTGGGTACCATCAAAAATCAAATATGTGCCGTAGTGCTTGTGAAAAGTAGCCTTCAGCAGGCGTACAGGAGCGATGCGGAAAACAAAAAGTGAGATTTCTGGATAGAATTGACCACGAGGAATTCAATGCCCTTAAGTTTCGAGTTTAAAGTTCATGCAGCCTTTTGAATTTTTTTAAATGAGCTCTTTTATTCCTTGTTGTATCTAGTCTATATCCTAAACCGTTCCGGTCAATTGCTTGAGTCATTTTTGAGAAGATTTAGTGTAAACTGGTCCTTGAAACCTTAAAAACCACCAAATGTCGAACCACCTCAAGACCCCACGCCGAGGTTTCGATATTTCTTAAATCAAATATTTCTACCCAGTCTTCAATGCTCTTTCAAATGAGATATGTCTCGATTCTTGCGGCAAACTTTCATGTGAAGTGTGGGACAGTACCGAAAGAATTAGCCTTCAAGTTCTATAAGACCAATTACTTTTCAACTTTTTATACTTATCTTTAAAGGCTCAATTGGACTGGTTTCTCGCTGCAGGCGCAAGAAAATGCCACCTGTGATCGATGCCAAACACTGGAACTGAATAAAAATCTAGTAATGTAGATGAATGAACTGAGTGAGTTTTCTAAATCTACCCAAAATATCTGAAAAGTTTTAAGCGATTATCAGAATTATACCACGTGATTCTACATCAATTTTAACATCCGGGCGACTAACACAAAGTTCGTAGTGAACAACATCATATAATGTGGCAACTAGCCTCCAAGTTATACATATCACTATTTCAAATTTTTCATCTAAACGTATTGATTAATAGCGCATTATATATTATTAGAAGTTAAAATTCAGTCTGGAAATAAAGATGGTTTCGGGCAGAGGATGAGGGTAAGGATGGGACTACAGTGCTGATTGGGAGTTCTGTAGATATTTTCAAGCATCTGGTTGGGCTGATGGCTTCTTTCGACATGCTGATGTCAGTAGATAATCTTTTATGCTCAACCGTTGAGTCCACAAGAATAATAATAGTGACAGAACACTGATGGCTTCAAAGATAATAAATAAACCACCCATTGCTTCAATGCCCATACTAGTAGATATAACAGATGGATCAGGGCAATTGCTTGTTTCAAACCATATTGTGGTCAAGTTATCAATAGCACCTGACTCTTGTAGTGATATTATATTCACATCTAAATCTTGTTTATAAAGCCATTGTTGTGGCATAACAATACCATATGCACTCTTATCAAAATCTTCACCAACAATCGTTAAATTGCAATATAATTGGTTAGTTGCATATTGTAAAAGACCGGTATCTGAAATAGCTGCATCAATTACACCACTCAGTAGTTTGCTATATATCTCTTTTTGTGACTTTAATGAATAATAATTTCGATTTTCGTCGGAGATTTCTCGTAAATAATACTGTTCAACAGCTGAACCGACAACGATACCAATACGACCAAATGGTATCTTTCCTTTTCTTATATCATCAATTCCGGAAATTACACTCTGTGATTTTGATATTGTTAGATCAGATGCTAAGTTTGCAGTATACGTTGCTACTAATATCAAGGATAACATATATAAACCAATAGTAAACAAGCGTCCAGCAGCTGTTGCGACGTGAAAATCCGCACCATATCCCAGAATAGTGCCAACAGAAAACCATACACTCATTGCGCCTGAAGAAATGATTGATCTATCTCGAAATGCTTCGTTTCCTTTTCGCTCAAATAGACAGATTATAATACCACCATAGATAGCAACACCTAAGAGTGTTAACCAAAGTTTAAATGAGAACGGCGCCAAGAACCCTAAAAGATCCGGACTGGCATTAGCTGTGCGCCGAACAATGATACTTAAAGAATTATCCAATATTGAATCCGAAAAATCAACTATTTTGCTCCGTGATGCAGTAATGGTGACATCACCAACTAGCATATCATAATCGCCATCCGCTACTGCTTGGATTAACGCATCATAGGTCTTGTTTGATGGTG